ATATATATATATATATATATATATATATATATATATATATATATATCCCTTATTACTAATTTGTACATATCTACATGTTAATTCCAAAATAGAGTAATAACATCTTTATTGTTTCATAAAAAGGGAATGATAAAATAATATAGAACTTTCGGGGTTTTTTGCATATATCATTATTAAAATTCTTCAATATTTTTGATGTTTTTCTCTTCTAGAATAAGAATATGAAGTTTTTAACATTATTCTAGTTCACACTAAATTTTTCAAGAAGAAAATTTTCTTAATCCGTGTAATCATAAGCTCTTTGTAACTCATTGAAGTAATTAGCAAGTATTAATTTTTACATCAATTTAATTTGTATAAATTAACCACATAAAGAATCATTATAATAGTAGTAGCTTATTTTCACTTGTTGTTACCAATAAAACTTGCTATTTTTCATATTTATTACAACCAATAACACTTCTTATGTATAAATTGGTTTTACAATTAATTTTATGAGAATGATAGATTGTTCAAATGCGTATTAATAGACAGAGTTTGAAGGTTATAGATTTCAAATGTTAGCCTTTATTGTATTTTTTTTATTAAATAAATTTTTTTCAAACAATAATAAATGACTTGAAAGTAATAAATTTGTGTGTATATATATAGTAGATATGGTATTCCTTTGACTTCTTCGTATGTATTTACTTTCCGTTAATCAGTGAAAATCTCAACTTTCCCTCTGACATAGAAATTAAATTAATTTCATATTTTTGTAAATGCAGGCTGATGAGTGCACCATTATTGATGAAGCAGTGAACCACATCCTAAAGCTGAAGAATACTTTTGAGAAGCTTAAACAGAAAAAGCTAGATGATCTTCAAGAATATAACATAAGATTGATGAGTTCACAGAAATTTCCAGATGTTGGTAATAGTTGGGAGAATTATTTGGGTGATCAAGGAACGACGAGTAATTCATCTTTTATTAAACCAAAAATTCATGGTGCTACTCCCCTTATGGTGAATAATAATATTCCAACAAGTTTTATGACGTGGAGTTCACCAGATATGATACTAAACGTTTGTGGTAAAGATGCACATATTAGTGTGTGTTGTCCTAAGAAACTAGGGCTATTTACCTTCATTTGTTACGTTTTGGGGAAACACAATATTGAGATTGTGTCTGCTCAAGTTTCATCTGATCAATCTAGAACCATGTTCATGATCCAAGCTCATGTAAGTACTTTAAATTTCTTCAAAATGAAACGTTGGTTATTTTGAAGATTGTGAACTAGGATTTTTAGTTAAAATACTTTTCAATTTAATTTACGTGTTTTATCTTGAGTGATCAGGAATTTTAAAAATGACATGCGTTGAGAAATTTTTTGATTTAAAATTAAGGGTGTGTCAGAAATAGTTATACTTTTTCATAACTCTCATGTCTAATTAAACATAATTTTCACATAAAATGAAGGTAAAAGAAAAGTATATACCTTGAGGTTGAAATTTTCTAATTTCTACTACTTATAGTATAGTCATAGATTATGTTTAGAAATTATTAAAATTGTTTTACCTAAGTGGACTGTCTAACAGAAATAATATTTTTACTTTTAGAAGATCATATGGATAAAAATGTGTATAAATTAATCTTTTCAGACCTCACTTATAAAATTTTGCTAAATATATTATTTTTGTTGTTATTTCTTGATTCTAAAAACTTGTTTGATGTATATTCAGGCTAAATGTGGAAATGACATTGCTCAATTCTCCGAAGCACCCACAGTGGAAGAAATATACAAGCAAGTTGCAATTAGGATAATGTCCTTTGAAACCCCTAAATGATCGGTATCCATTTCATCAGTCAAATTCAACAAGGGTTATCATATTTAGTTTCAAAGTTCATCCGGTTGAGGATGGATGGTTGTTATCATAAAGGCCATGATATATACTTTTGCAGTTTATCCAGTAGAGGATGAATGTTGTGGCCTTAAAGACTATTTTTTTTTATTTCTAGTTTGTCTGTCGCCGTATAGGCATACTTTTATTCATCAGATAAATGATGAATGGGTGTAGCCGTAATGGTTAGTTAATTTTATTTACTTTTGTACTTCCTGTGAAGGAGAACGTCTGTCACCGAGTCGGAAAAATGAAAACTACGAAATTTGGTCCTATTAAGTTTCTTCCAATGATATTTACAAATAGTAAAAATCTTGGTAATGATATATGTTTATGTATTTGCTTTGAGGGTGCATTTGGTATGGATTTATTAATCAATTCTAAGAACCAACAACTATCCAAACTCTCACCTATTTTTTTAATATAAATATAAAACAAAGTTTATTTTTAAATATATATATCTATATATATATCATAGAAGCACTTTTGTTTTACTTCTTTGAATTCAAATATGTCGAGATATAAAACATGAATCATATTTGTAATTATGATCTTTTAAAAAATTTAAGACCATCAAAGATATTTATTTTACTTTAGAATGCTTAAAATATTTTGAGTTACTCCTGATCCTTGACTATCTCTTGTGATATTTTTCCTAAACCGAATGTCTTTTTCTTACCAACCTAATCGCACAAATAAACAAGAAACTGAAATTACTTATTTTTACTCGCTAACTTTTTAAAAGAGGGTAGATAAAAAAAATTATGATATCTTTTTACATATTGAAAAATGAAGGTACCACTTTAAGAAACTTATTTAAATTTTGTTATGTAAAAGAAATTGTCATTTCACTCAATCAATCTTTGATTGAATTATAGCATTATGAAAATTACTTCTTCATCAGCCAAATCCAATCTTCTATCTATATATAATAGGAGAAGAAAAAGCGAGATGTGTCAGCACTACAATTTTTTTTGAATTTTATTATCTTTAATTAATTTGGACAATTAATTCAATTTAAACAACTTAATTATATCTTGTTAATTTTAATAATATATTTAATAAAAAAAGAAAAAATATATAAAATAGTTTTTTTCTATAAGCAGTTATATAAAATAGTTTAAAGTTACGTTTTATTAACTTTAAAATCAATATCTATGCAATGACCAATTTTTTTGTAAATAAATATATTATTATATAAACAAAAAAAATTAAGAATTCTTATGTTACCATTTTATTCTTGGAATATTTTAAACTTTAATTAATTTTTATTATATAAACATCTACTCTTTCCGAAAATTTTAACATATAAAAAACTTAAGTAACCAATTAGAAATTTTGATGTATTTCCTTACACAATTAATTTTGATAATTAATACTTAAATTTAAAGTTGTGGTTAAAAATTGCTCACTATAGAGTTATACTAAATATAACTAGTTATCTATTCATTGTTTTTTTAAATAAATAATTTTTAAAAAAATTATAAAATTCAACTAAAAATAGTTGTCCCTAATATACGTCACCCACTTGCTTAAATTCATATTCCCAATAAATACAATCGTATCATTCAATAAACCTAATAACATAATTCAGTCAATTTTATTTTATGTTGGAACATTATCAAAAAAAAATATATATATTAAAAAATAATCAAAGAAAAAGGATCGTTTGATGAAGATTCAATCAAGCAGTTGTGGGGTTAAATGTATGTAGTTGAAGAAGGAAAAATGTATGTATAGATGAGTGATGATCATATTACTGATTAAATTTTTTTTTCTTATTGTATTCAAATTTGAATTCATTTCCATCATTCTAATTTTATTCAATTGATTTTTAATGTGAATTGAAAGTTTGAATTATAAATTGAAAGTTGATCTACATTGCCATGCAATTTATTTATTTATTTATTTATATAAATCCTTCCTAACATTTGTTAAAAGAACTGTTCTTTTCAATTTAACAAACAAATAAAAGAGAACTAAAAAAACAAGAAAAGAAAAGAAGATAAATAGAAAAAAAGAAGAAAACAAATTGATTCATACTTCATAACTTGAATTGTACTTGGTTTAAATTTGGATTGTTTGATTTAATTCATGTGTTATTTTAATATTGTTTATAAATAACGAGTTGCAATAAAATATAATTACATATAGTTAGACTTTTAGAATAAATAAATATCAATTATATATAAATTACAATAAAAAAAGAAAATTATGGTGGAAGAAAATTTGAGGTTAGAGAGGCTAATTTTTAGACTCTCTCCAATTAAAAAAGAATGATCATATTTCCTTTTTCCTTTTTAGTATGTTTTAGAAAGAATGATTTTTTTTTTAACAATACTTTAACTTTAACTTTTCACGTAACACACTTAAATATTAAAAAGTATTTTGATATATTTAACATAACTTTACTTTAGAATTATAAGATTAAAAATTCTTCTTTTTTTGTTTTTCTTATACTAAGTCATTTTTTTTAAATGGTGGGAGTACACTTTTTGCGAAGATGAGAGGAAAGTCATACATTTGAAATAAATGTCGGTGTATGTAAAGGTACTCAGTTT